GTGGCTAATGAGAACAGCTGTGCTAATTTAAAAGGCCACCGTGGTGATGTAGACATTTGGAAACCAAACCGGCGGGATGGTCAGTTGTGCAGAAGAGGCAAGGGAAGATGAAACCAGAGAACACCGCTGTTAGACACGTGTTGGAGGATGCAAGGGAGCCCTCGAAGCCCACATGCGATACCTGTGGCCTCAAACGGTTTCCATTCCTCAGGACATTGCTGGCGCCTGGCAGAGGTTGGAGCAGGCTGAGAAGGGCTATGAGGAGTGGCTGTTGAATGAGATTCGGAGACTGGAGCGCTTGGAGCACCTGGCTGAGAAGTTCAGGCAGAAGGCCTCCACGCATGAGACATGGGCTTATGGTAAGGGCATGAGAATCCGGTTCTGGTTTTTACAGCATCTGAGTTGTGGGGCAGTGAGATGGCTCAGTGGATAGAGGCTTGCTGCCAAACATGACACCCTGAGTTAGAACCAATTCCTGCAAATTGTCTTACGTCCTCCATAGTCCACACTGTGGCATGTATACACCACCATCCATACTCCACACTGTGACATGTATACACCAGCATCCATAGTCCACCTGTGGCATGTATACACCAGCATCCATAGTCCACACTGTGACATGTATACACCAGCATCCATAGTCCACCTGTGGCATGTATACACCAGCATCCATAGTCCACATGGCGGCATGTATGTGCATCCCTCCATGAACAAACACACGCATACAATTTACATATAAATAAATCAATGTAAAAAATCTGAGTTTTGCTGGGCTTGGTGGTGTGTATTCATATAATTCCAACACTTAGGAGGCTGAGTCAGGAGGATCCTCAAGAGTCCCAGCTCAGCCTGGACCACACAACAACTAGGGGTTCGGAGAGAGGGTTCAGCAGTTACGAGTGTGCTCTTTCCTTGCAACACCCACATCAGCGAGCTCATAACCCTTGTAACTCCTGCTGTAGGGAATGGCACCTGCGCTTACATGCATACACCTACACAGACACATACATACTCGAACACATAATTAAAAATAAAAATAAGCTGGGTGATGGTGGCACATGCTATTAATTCCAGCCCTTGGGGGACAGAGGCAGGCAGAACTCTGTGAGTTCAAGGCCAGCCTGCTCTGCAGAACAAGTTCCAGGATAGCCAGGGCTGTACAGAGAAACTCTGTCTTAAAAAAAGAAAGAAAGAAAAAAAAAGAAGCCAAACCAAATAAATAAATAAATACAAAATATTAATCTTAAAAACAACAAAGAATAAGTATACTGTAACTGTTTCTCGCATAAGGCTTCTGTGACGCATTCGTGAGTTGATATGATAAATCTTTCCGTCGGTGTCTAACTCATCCTAACTGCACTGTTGTCATCACTGGACTGTGGGCGTTTGCTTTCCACTTCCAGCTTTACAGAATTAAATCGCTATAGGCCACTGAGAGTAAATGTAGATCTGGATCCCCAGTCATGGCAGTATCTAGATTTAAGGAATACTTATAGAGAGGACTGGAAATGTGGCTCAGTTGGTAGGATGCTGGCTTAGCGTACACCTACAAAGCCCTGGGTTCGATCCCCAGTAGCACGTAAATTCGGCATGGTGGTACATGCCTATAATCCCAGCTCCAGGAATATAGAGGCAAAAGGATCCGAAGTTGGAGGTCATTCTTGGCTAAATACTGAGATCAAGGCCAACCTGCAGTAGAGACTACTTATCCATATATATAGAGAGAATATATATATCCATATATATATATATATAATCTTATAAAATCACACACATAAAATGTCTTATGGAGAAATTAGTGAAGGTTCCAAGAAGGAAATTTTTAATGTTTAGAATCAGAACAAGCAAAACAGGGCCACGTTTCACCCCAGAGTATAACTTTCAAATACAAAGCCTGGGGCAAGAAAACCCTGCTGGCAGGCGATTGTTTGAGACAGGGTTCTGCTATGTCACTCATTCTCAGCTTGGAGTCACAGTGCCCTTGACTCTGCCTCCTGGGTGCTAGGATTGGATTAGAGGTGTACCACCATGCCCAGATAACACAAGGGTTTTATTCAGTCATCCCCTTGTGGCTCATGAATTAGAATAATTTCCAACTGAACTGCAGGCCGTGGTGGGAAAGAAGACAATTGTGTCTTAGAATGATATGGAATATACTTTATAAAATGCATGCTTCTCCCCCGTACACACACACCTTTCTTTCTGAGACCTCGCCTGTGAGCACCTAGAGGGGCTGGCTGTGCTTGCAGGCTGGTCCCTATCCTTCCTTTAAATCTCAGTATTCTCCAAGCACATCCTGGTGTGGGGAAGCTGCTGTGTGACTTTGAGTGTTCATGCTTAGATTAATTGATTCATTTATTTAGGCAATACTGGGACTTGTATTCATGGCCTTTGCATATCCTAGGCAAGCCCTACCGAGTTGCAGTCTTCTGGTTCTTTTCCATTTTGAGACAAAGTCTCACAGAGTTGCCCAGGCTGTCCTTGAACTTGCGATCCTGCTGCCTCAGCCTCCAAAGTAGTTGGTATTCCGACCTGGCCTCATGCTTCTGGCTGTCCCCTTTGCAGGCAAAGAACAGATCCTGCTGCAGAAAGATTATGAGTCAGCTACCCTAACGGAAGTGCGGGCCCTCCTTCGGAAGCATGAGGCCTTTGAGAGTGACCTGGCTGCACACCAGGACCGTGTGGAACAGATTGCTGCCATTGCCCAGGAGCTCAAGTGTGTGCTGGTACCCCGGGTGAAGGCCATAGTGGGCTGTGGGCAGGTTCTTCAGGGAGTGGGCACTCTTCCCAGCTGAGTTCCAGGGTCACGCTGGAGCTCCCAGGGATGATGATTTTGGTATCTAGAAATGTAAAAACAGGTCCAGCTTTGCTGTGACAGGGTCCTTGGGTCCTCCCAACCCTCCTCACACCTGACCCCACATAAACTATTCTGCTTCCAAAGAAATGAGTTTCAGTGTGGAGGCCATGGCCTAGCAGCCTGGTTCACAGTGCCGGGGGGTGGGGGCGCGGGGTGTTAGGCAAGACCCATGCAAAAAGGAAGGCCAGAGAGAAGAGAGAAGTCACTACCTCAGCCCTGAAGAAGCAGGCTGCCTCACTTTTCTGAGTTTTGTTCTGTGGGGACAGATGTGGTGTGAGACTAATCATTTTGTAGACGTTTCTGTCTCTACTTTATGCCTGTGATTCCTGGAATGTGTACGTGTGTGGAGGGCAGAAGAGGGTGTCAGGTCCCCTGGAACTGGGGTTCCAGATAGCTGAGAGACTCTGGGTTCTGGGAAATGAACTCAGGTCCTCTGCAAGAGTAACCGATGTTCTTAACTGCTGAGCCATCTCAGAATATAATAGAATTTTTATTGCCTATCCCTTAACAATAAAATCAAAGTAATTAAAATGTACTTCAGTATGTTGCTCCCTGGTTCCTCAATTTTGAGGACCACGAACCCCTTAATTAACAGGTAGGGCTTCATAGCACACCACATCTCAGGTTGACCCATATAAACCCTTCACGTTGTTAGCCTCACATTCTGTCAGGACCTTCCATCATGGTTTAATGCTTCTTGAATGCTGGCTCTTTGCTAATTAACAGCCACTCACCAATAAAGCGAGGGCTTGAAAAGGACTCAGGTTATTTAGTGCACTGTAATGGCTCCCGTGAGTAATTGGAGCAGTTTAAGTGTTGCCCATGAACTTTAAGAAATAATTTTATGTTACTATGGCTGTTACTCCTGCCATTTTTGGTGCTGTTTGCTCCACACGGCTGAGGTGAAACCATGCATGAAATTTAGGTTGTGTTCATCTGACTGTTAGTAACATTCTTTCCCTTCCTGCCCATCCTAGAAATAAGTCAGAGTTTTTAAAAAAAAAAAATATTTATTTATTATACAATATTCTTTCGGTGTGTATGCCTGAACGCCAGAAGAGGGCACCAGACCTCATTACAGATGGTTGTGTGGTTGCTGGGAATTGAACTCAGGACCTTTGGAAGAGCAGGCAATGCGCTTAACCACTGAGCCATCTCTCCAGCCCCGTAAGTCAGAGTTTTTATGAAGTTCTCAAAAGTACATAAAATAGTCATCATGAGCTCTCACTCTCAACACAGGTGTACATGGAGCCATTGTATAAGAATCGGGGAAAATAAGGAGACCCTAGAAATAATCTCAGAGCGGCTGCACTGGTGTTTCCATTGTGGTTTAGCAGAAAGTTCTTGCAGTATTCACTCTTTCTTTTTGAGTCAGGGTCTCTCAATAGAGTTCTGGCCGTCCTGGAACTCTCTGTGTAGACCAGGCTGGCCTCGAACTCAGAGATCCTCCTGCCTCTACATCCTGAGTGCTGATAATAATTTTTAGAAATAGCAGCCTGCAAATGGGAAGGTGCACATAGGTATGTCCTTGTGTGTGTGTGTGTGTGTGTGTGTGTGTATGCATGTGCACAGATCAGAGGACTTTCGGGGGTTGGTTTTTGCCTCCCACTTTACTGAGGCAAGATCTTTCTTGTTACTGATGTTGTACTGTGCACTCCAGGCTTCTGGTTTTTCTGCTATCTTGCCCTCCCATCATGCCATATGAGGTCTGAAATTATAGGATGTGCCGTTTAGCTTTTTATGTGGGTTCTAGGGTTGAACTTGGGTTGTCAGACTTACGTAGCTGGCGTTTTTACCTGGGGAGCAATCTCCCCGACTTCTTAGTTACCTTTTCATTTGTGTTGCCAAAATGCCTGACAGAAACAACTGGAAGGGGGAAGAGGTCTATTTTTGCTCAGTTTCATACGATTTCAGTCATTTGGGACAGAGAAGACCAGGAAACAAGGAGATCTAGTGTCTTAGGGTTTCTATTGCTGTGATTAAATATCAGGACCAAAAGCAACCTGGGAAGGAAACAGGTCCTGATCACATGTCTTGTTATCATAGGCCATCATGAAGCAAAGTCAGGGCAGAAACTTAACTGTCTTAACCTGGAGACAGAGAATGATGCAGATGCCATGGGGGAGCGCCACTTACTGTCCTGTCCCTCCTGGCTTGCTCAGTTTATTTCTTTTTCTTTCAGAAGTTTTTGTTTCTTCAGTTTCTTCTGGGATATCTTTTTCTTCTGTGCCACCTCCTCTTCTGGCTTTGGAACAATCTGTTCCTTCTCAGTGAGGATCATCTCGATGTGGCAGGGGGAGCTCATGTATGGGTTAATCCGGCCATGAGCTCTGTAAGTTCGTCGGCGCATCTTAGGTGCTTTGTTCACCTGGATGTGCTCAATGACCAGAGAGTCCACATCTAAACCCTTCAGTTCAGCATTGCTCTCTGCATTTTTCAGCATGTGCAGCAAAAATTCTGCACTCTTTTTGGGCCACCGACCCTGTGTCCAGCCCCACTGTTTGGCCTGGGCGCACCTACCGACTCCACCATTGTACCGTCGGAATAGCACACACTGCTTCTTCAAAGTGACATCTTTCAGATACTTGGTGGCTTTTCGGATATGCATACCCTTGATGGCCTGGGCCGTTTCACGGGTGTTCTTAAAGTGAACCCGAAGGTTTGATCCTCTCGATTTGCATGATTTTGTAGGGTTTTCTGGGTCAAGAGAGTAGCGAACCATCTTCACGGGTCACCTCTGGCCGCTTACAGGAAGAGCTATGTACATTTTTTTTAAAGACAAAATTTCTTTTTTGTAAATTGATTTTTATTGAGCTCTACATTTTTCTCTGATAAGACAGAATTTCTTAATAGGCAAAGGGCTTACCTGATTCAGTTACGCCAGCTGCTTAGGGAGCCCCAGGGATCCCCTTGTCTGTGTTGAGTATTAATTACAGTAGCATATTAGTGGAGGTCAGGGGACAATCAAGGCATTAAACTCAGGTTGTCAGACTTGGTGGCAGGTGCCTTCAGCATCTGAGCATCTCACCAGTCTCCCTACCAGTTTTCTACTAGGCCTTTTTGTAAAAAGGCATAGGTGTATGGGTAAGAAAGTGGGAGATGGCTCAGTGAAGTGCTTGCTGTGTAAGCACGAGGACCCGAGTTTGGTTAGGCAGAACCCATGTTCAAATTCCTGACACAAGGACTGGAGAGGTGACTCAGTGGCTGAGTGCTTGGAGACCTCCCTGGCAGAGGACACAAGGCCAGTTCCCAGAACCCATGTCAGGCAGCTCACAACTGCCTTTAACCCCAGCTCCAGGGGGTCAGTCACCCTCTTCTGTGCGCCACAGGAGCACTCACGTGCACGTGTGCACATGTGCGCGCACACACACCTTTTTTTTAAAAAATGAGCATTAATTTTAGCTCTAGGGAGACAGATACAGGTAGATGCCCAGAGCTCACTAGCCAGTCAACCCAGCTGAATAATACAAAACCCTGGATATTGGAAAACTCAATCTCAAAAAAAGAAGAAGAAGAAGAAGAGGAGGAGTAGGAAGAGGAGGAGGAGGAGGAGGAGGAGTGGAAGAGGAAGAAGAAGAAGAAGAAGAAGAAGAAGAAGAAGAAGAAGAAGAAGAAGAAGAAGAAGAAGAAGAAGAAGAAGAAGAAGAAGAAGAGAGTTGTTAGATGGTGACTGACAGGAATACTCAGTGTTTACCTCTGGTCTCCAAGTGTATGTGCACACATTTGTGTGTACATCCATCCATACACGTATTTGCGCACAGACATTGCACTCATACACACCTCTTCCCTGTTTAGTTCCAGCTTGTATCCATTTCCTCACACCATCTGCGAGAACTAATCTTTATTTCTTGCTTTTCCTAGTGAACTGGACTATCACGATGCTGTGAATGTCAACGATCGGTGCCAGAAAATCTGTGACCAGTGGGACAGACTGGGGACGCTCACCCAGAAGAGGAGGGAGGCCTTGGAGGTGAAAACGCTGACTAGAGGCTCCACACTGAAATCAGTGGTGTTAGTTGTATTTATCCATGGCCTCGTGGGGAGAAAACCTAACATTATCCAGGAAATGGAGTCCTAAGAAGAATGTGGCAAGTGGGAGTCAGAGGACCAAGGGAGGCTGGTAGCTTTGCGTTGGGATGCACCACGTCAGCAAGCTGCAAAACATGCTTTTCAATTTTAAAACGTTTGAGAGGGATATGGTTGAAGCCCTGTTTGTTAAGTAGCAATCACTACAAATTTCCTAAAGTTCTTTTGAAATTTTTTAAAGATTTATACATTATTTTTAATTAATTTCCGTGCATGAGCACTTTGCCCACTTGTGTGCCTGTGCACCTCTTGTGTGCCTGTGTACCACTTGTGTGCCTGGTACCTTTGGACACCAGAAGAGGGCATCATGTCTCCTGGACTTGGAGTTACAGATGGTTGTGAGCTATCATGTGGCTGCTGGGAATTAAACTCGGGTCCTCTGGAATAGCAGTGTGAGTTCTTTGTGTGTGTGTGTGTTTTTTTTAACCTTTTTCGAGACAGGGTTTCTTTGTTTCTCTGTGAAAAAGTCCTAGCTGTCCTGCCTGGAACTAACTCTTGTAGACCAAGCTGGCCTCAAACTCACAGAGATCCACCGGCCTCTGCCTCCCAAGTGCTGGGATTAAAGGTGTGCGCCACCACCGCCCAGCGCAGTGTGAGTTCTTAACCACTGAGCCAACCCTTCAGCTGTGCCAATGACTGACTCAGGCTGTCAGGTCCATCTTGAGATGTGTACCTGGAAAATGGCAACAGATATGGAAGGGAAAGTGCTAGAAAATAAGCCAGGGGATGTAGCTTAGTTGGTAAAGTGCTCGTCTTGTACATACAAGGGCCTAGGATCACTTCCCGACATCCGTAAAGCTGTGTCCTGTTATCAGTGACTAACGAAAACTCAGGAGGTAGAAGGACCAGAAGTCCAAGGTTATCTTAAACTGTATAGAAAGTTCAAGGCAAAGCTGGGCTTACTGATGCACACCTTTAATTCCAGTACTTGGGAGGCAGAGACAGGCAGATCTTTGTAAGGTCAGGCCAGCCTGGTCTACATAGTGAGTTCCAGGACAGCCAGAGCTACAAAACGAGATCATGTCTCAGGAAAACAAAAAGGCAAAAGAAAGAAAAAAGTTTAGACAAGCCAGGGATACATGAGACTTTCAATCATCAATCAATCACGGATTTAGCTAACAGAAGTTGTATATCTGTGAATTTTCAAGAGGAGCACTTCAGATTCTTTAAATGTGAGGCTGCTCTGGACGGTATTAAATTCTTCTTTAACTCCAAAGGCCCCCAGAGAATAAACTTGGTGGTGGAGTATTTACCCAGCAGCGCCAAGGCTGTGTGTTCTGACCCAACACCAAAACTAAACCATCAGAGGAGACCCTCAGAGACAGGGAGGGATCGCCATCATTCCAGCAGCAGCGAGGACACAGAGCAGGACACACTTGGTTGAACTGGATACATATTTATTTACACGTGTTTGCACACTTAGGGCTTTAAAAATGTATTTAATCCTTGATGATTCTCGCTTCTATTTAATCTTCAGAGAACTGAGAAATTGCTAGAAACAATTGACCAGTTGCACCTGGAGTTTGCCAAGAGAGCTGCGCCCTTCAACAACTGGATGGAGGGCGCCATGGAGGACCTGCAGGACATGTTTATTGTCCACAGCATTGAGGAGATCCAGGTGAGGGGACTCGAGCTCAGCACTCTTTCAACTAATGCATATTTGTCGTATAATGTGTTCTGTTCAAGTATTTCCTGTACCTGAGTCTTTATTCTACATTACCCTCTCCTAACCCCACTTCTGCTCGTCTCCTTCCTTTTCTCAAATAGTCTCTCTTCCATTTTCATGTCACATGTATGTGTGTATGTATGTGCCTTAATGTGTATATAGCACCTAGGTTCTGGGCTGGGAAGATGGCTCAGTTGCCACCCCCACCCAGGTCCTGACAATCAGCAAAATCCACATGATGGAAGGAGAGAACTGACTCCCACATACATTCTATGCCATGTATGAACTCACCTTTACACCGCACATGCACACACACACACACACACACACACACACACACACACACACGTAAAATAAATCTGTAAAAAGGGAAAATAAAAGCCAAGAGGTGGCTCTTTAATCCCAACACTCGGGAGGCAGAAGCAGGCAGATCTCTGAGTTGGAGGCCAGCCTGCTCTACAGAGCTAGTACCAAAACAGTCACGGCTACACAGAGAAACCCTGTCTCAAAAAACAAAACAGAACAACTACAAAAACAAAAACAAACAGACAAAAAAGAAAATAATAAGATTCTAGATTGAGGAAGACACTTGATATTGACCTCTGGTTTCCATGTACATACAACATGAGTGTAACCACATATGAGCACACCACATATACACACATACAAAAGAATCTCCAAAACAAAACCTCTGCTTGCTACCAATTAAAGTGCCTTCCTTTTATATATCTTCAGAGCATTTAATTAAGTCTATAAATAATATCACTGGCTTTGGTGTTAGGAGGAACAGCTACTGTCAAGTACCCAGGATCCAGTTTCTTCATAACCCGTTTATGGCTAATTTGAAATCTAATAGAATACAAAGAAAACATATATCTGTAATTCTATTTTCAATAAAATTGGTATGTCATGAGGGCTCACTTTGGTCAGTAAAGTGTTGCTTTGTGGGCACACAGTCATGAGTTCAATCCCTAGAATCTAAGTTTTAAAAAAAACAACAAATTGGATGTTGAAATAGGAGCGGCAGGGCTGCGTCCCCGGCACCCGGCCGCCTGCATGGCTAGTTTATACCCAGAAATAATTACACGGAAACTGTATTCTTTCAAACACTGCCTGGCCCGGCTAGGTCCAGTTTCTTATTGGCTAGCTCTTACATATTGTTCTAACCCATTTCTAATATTCTGTGTAGCCCATGAGCTGGCTTACCAGAGAGGATCTTAACCTGCGTCTGTCTGGAGTGGGAGCATCATGGCGACTCACTCACTCAGCTTCTTTTTCCCAGCATTCTCCTCTGTCTACTCCGCCTACCTAATTTTCTGTCCTATGAGGGCCGAGGCAGTTTCTTTATTAATAAGAAATCACTCCCACATCAATTGGAGTTGATAGCACATACTTGTAATCCAGTACTAGGAAAGTAGAGACAGGCTGGGACTTGTTAGCCAGCCAGAGTAGTCTAATCAGAGAGCCTCCAGGCCAATGAGAGTCCATGGCTAGAAAAGCAAGCGGGACCTCTGACCTCTACATACATGTACGTACATCTGAACACATACAAAGTTCACACTAAAAGTCTGGGTGTGGTGTACATGCCTGTAATCCCAGCTGTAAGTGCAGAAGAAAAATCAGGAGTTCGGGGTCATTTGTGACTTCATAGCAAGTCAAAGCCAGTCTGGCTGCTTGAGACCTTGCCTAAAAATAAATAAATATACAGTTGACACTCTGGTCAGATTGACTCTCTGTGCTGTTCCCTGGCATAGAGTCTCATCACTGCGCATGAGCAGTTCAAGGCTACCCTGCCAGAGGCTGATGGGGAACGGCAGTCCATCCTAGCCATCCAGAATGAGGTGGAGAAGGTGATCCAGAGCTACAACATCCGGATAAGCTCCAGCAACCCCTACAGCACTGTCACCATGGACGAGCTGCGCAACAAGTGGGAAAAGGTGGGCGGCTGTGGACTGTGTGCTGGGGATGAGGCTGGGGCTGGGTGTGGGGTGAGGCTGTGGACTGTGTGCTGGGGGTAGGG